CAGAGGGAGAAGCAGGTTCCATGCACCGGGAGCCCGATATGGGATTTGATCCAGGGTCTCCAGGATCGCGCCCTGGGCCAAAGGCAGGCGCCAAACCGCTGTGCCTTCCAGGGATCCCTTCCCAGCACCATCTATTGAAGAGATGGTCTTTCTTCCAGTGGATAGTCTTTCCTCCTTTGTTGAATATTAGTTGACCATGAAGTTGAGAGTCCACTTCTGAATTCTCTATTCTGTTCCATTGATCTATGTGTCTGTTTTTGTGCCAGTACCACACTGTCTTGATGACCACAGCTTTGTAGTACAACCTGAAATCTGGCATTGTGATGCCCCCAGATATGGTTTTCCTTTTTAAAATTCCCCTGGCTATTCGGGGTCTTTTCTGATTACATACAAATCTTAAAATAATTTGTTCTAACTCTCTAAAGAAAGTCCATGGTATTTTGATAGGGATTGCATTAAATGTGTAAATTGCCCTGGGTAACATTGGCATTTTCACAATATTAATTCTTCCAATCCATGCGCATGAAATATTTTTCCATCTCTTTGTGTCTTCCTCAATTTCTTTCAGAAGTGTTCTATAGTTTTTAGGGTATAGATCCTTTACCTCTTTGGTTAGGTTTTTTCCTAGGTATCTTATGCTTTTGGGTGCAATTGTAAATGGGATTGACTCCTTAATTTCTTTCTTCAGTCTCATTGTTATAGATATGCCACTGACTTCTGGGCATTGATTTTGTATCCTGCCACGCTGCCAAATTGCTGTATGAGTTCTAGCAATCTTGGGGTGGAGTCTTTTGGGTTTTCTATGTAGAGTATCATGTCATCTGTGAAGAGGGAATTTGATTTCTTCTTTGCCAATTTGAATGCCTTTTATGTCTTTTTGTTGTCTGATTGCTGAGGCTAAGACTTCTAGTACTATGTTGAATAGCAGTGGTGAGAGTGGACATCCCTGTCTTGTTCCTGATATTAGGGGAAAGGCTCCCAGTGTTTTCCCATTGAGAATATTTGCTGTGGGCTTTTCATAGATGGCTTTTAAGATGCTGAGGAATGTTCCCTCTATCCCTACACTCTGAAGAGTTTTGATCAGGAATGGATGCTATATTTTGTCAAATGCTTTCTCTGCTTCTATTCAAAGGATCCTATGGTTCTTGTTTTTTCTCTTGCTGATACGATGAATCACATTGATTGTTTTATGAGTATTGAACCAGCCTTGCATCCCGGGGATAAATCCCACTTGGTCATGGTGAATAATTTTCTTAATGTATTGATGGATCCTATCGGCTAGTATCTTGTTGAGAATTTTGGCATCCATGTTCATCAGGGATATTGGTCTATAATTCTCCTTTTTGGTGGGGTCTTTGTCTGATTTTGGAATTAAGGTGATGCTGGCCTCATAGAACGAGTCTGGAAGTACTCCATCTCTTTCTATCTTTCCAAACAGCTTTAGTAGAATAGGTATGGTTTCTTCTTTAAACGTTTGATAGAATTCCCCAGGGAAGCCATCTGGCCCTGGACTTTTGTGTCTTGGGAGGTTTCTGATACATGAGCAAAAATTCCATGTAACCTGGAAGACGTTACCAATTAAAAGCAAAAAAAAAAAAAAAAGTCTTTAATTTCTTCTTTGAGTCGGTGACAACATCTTAGGTTTGTTGGAGTCTGATACTTAAATCATGGAAAAATTCCCAAACAGAAACTTACAGGCTAGCAGGAAAGTCAGTTGGTCCATAATTCTGCACATGAGATTACCTTATGTGATTCAAGAAAAATAAGTACTCTTATTTTTAACTTAAGTTGTTAACCATATATTTTGGGAAATATAAATCCTACTGACAATAAAAAAGTCTAAGTAGCTGCAGATTTGGAAGGATGTGGATAGCAGGAGCAGAAAAGAGCAAATTCCTTTCCCTCAGAGTGGTTAAGAGCCTACGGACAGACTGGTACCCTAAGGCCAAAAGCAGAGAGATCCAAGTCAGGGTTAAGGGAAAGCAACTGATGACCTCACAGAGTGAACAGGAAAAGAGGAGCCAGGACTAAAGCAACAACAAGCCAAAGAACATTTATTACGTGGAAGAGGCAGATGACGACAAGGAGAGCAGGGCACATTTTATTACCAAGTATTTCAAACATACAAACAAATCCAAAAAAATAAAACTCCTACACATAAAGTAGATTTATCTTCTAGTAACATGAAGCTCGTATTTTCTTCAATACCTTTAAGTCCTAAAAACTTATATATACAGTAGAAAGTCCCTGTGTATCCCTTCTTGATATCCCCATAAACACGGTATGAAACTTTCATGGCAAGATTTATTTGGGAGGAAGAACTCAGAAAAATAAAACTACCCAACCTAACAGAAGAATGGCAGGCAAACAAAGACAGAGGCACAGGAGACAACATTCCCAATAAACAAAAAAAAAAAAAAAAAAAAAAAAAAAATAAGATGCTGTGCTGCCGGGAAGTCTAACCTTCGCTGTCTCCTTTCTTCTACATATTTATCTCTGAGAAAGACTGCTTCTGAAAGAGAAAAATCAACTCTCATTATGCCTTATATAGAAACTCCATCACTATGTTTTTTTAATTTATTATTTATTCATGAGAGACACAGAGACATAGGCAGAGGGAGAAGCAAACTGAACACTTTTAACTGAAAGTACACATTCAAGTCAGGTCTGACAGTTAAAGAAATCCGCCCCGTGCTGTGTGTTAACTACAGCCATTTGTACTATCCTTGGCCAATGTAAAACATAGTTGTACTCTCCCTTTCAGATAGAAAATTTTCTATTAACTTGTGTGTTGAAGTACTTATTTATCATGTCTAAGCCACAGATACCAGTTTTCTCTTCTCATCACAATACTACTTGGGGGGGGGGGCAATTTTACAGTTATTAACAAATTTCTCCAGAAAAAACTAAACACTTCCATTTGAAATCTATTTTCTGTGTGTCTAGGAAGAACAATTTAAAAGGGTAAATTGTTCAACTATACTTTCACCACAACGAAGTATGCTTAAGCAACCGTGTATGTAATTTTTTGTAATATAACCCCCTGGTACCCTGCCCTCCACAACTGATCTAAGAACACTGTAATGGGAAGAGAGCGGCTTGGGGTCTAAGACCTGGTTCCATGTGTGTGCATCCTGTGCAGCTGTTCAACCTCTCTGAGCCTCAGCCTCATCTGTACAAGGGGGTGTGCTTTCTTTTCAGGGGTACTGTGATGATTAAATACGTGACTAGATGTTAAAACGCTTTTAAGATAATATATAAAGTGTTTCACTATATTCAGATGTGGATATAATATTTATTCCCACAGTAAGGGAAAAGTCAGTTCAACTACTATGCTTTATTTAAAACAGCTTTTTTTTTTTCCTTAAAGCAATCTTTGGGGAGCTCCCTGGGTGGCTCAGTGGTTCAGCGCCTGCCTTTGGCCCAGGGTGTGATCCTGGGGTCCCAGGATCTAGTCCCATGTCGGGCTCTCGGAATGGAGCCTGCTTCTCCCTCTGCCTGTGTCCCTGCCTCTCTGTGTGTCCATCATGAATAAATAAAATCTTTAAAAAAAAAAAAACAATCTTCATAGAAACAAAAGAAAATCTACCTTTCATCTTGTGTGTTAGCACTCTCAAAACCCTTATGGAAAAGATAAAGATTAAAAAAAATATGATAATTTGGCACTAGGACTAAATTCTAGAAGTTCGTGTCATTGTATATCCCTTCATCTATGAAGTAATCATTAAATTTAAGATTCTACCTTATTTTTTATTTTTTTAAATTTAAAATTTTAAACTCAAGTATACAAAGACAGCATTCAGTATTGAAATTGCATGTATTAACAAGGACTAAAGGTTGTAACTGCAACTATAGGTCAGCGTTTATTAGAAATAACACAAAACTTGTAAAGGAAATACATCAGGAGGCTCAAAATTGCTGCTCTAGCATTAATGACACGCAACTTAGAATTCAGTTACACTTTCTTAGAAACAACACAACTGCACTGCCACAGTGAACTGAGAAGACGGCTCACAGCAGGCCCTGCTAGAGAGCTATCCCACCCCTGCAAGGCACTACCACCCGCAGAGCCACTCAAAGGGGCTGACACAGGCTGTGCTTCAGCCAACAAGAATACACATACTAAATCATAGTAAATCAAAAGATCATTTGCTTTTGGCAGGAATTTTATCAGTCAGACAAGGCAGGAAGGATGATTTCATTTTAATCAGAAATTCTAATTGGCACGAAGTACTTTCTGAGGGCTATCTTGGAACAAAGCATCCCAAACAGTACAAAAGCAGGGGAACTCTTGTTTAAAACACATTAATTATTGCCTGTAAGCACCAGAATCACCATGGCCAAAGGCGAAGAAGTTTTGTTTGGAAATGAAATACACTATCAGTGCAGCCCCCTTTCTATTCTTGGCCCTTTAGAACTGCTTCACAAAAAGTGCTAAACAGGGGGTGCCTGGGTTAAGAGTCCAACTCTTGGTTTTGGCTCAGGTCATGATCTCAGGATTGTTAAGACTGAGCCCCGAGTCCGGCGCTAAACTCTGTAGGAAATCTTCGGGAGAATTTCTTTCTCCCTTTGCCCCCTCCCCATCCCACTTCCATGCTAATACATAAATCTTTTTTTAAGTGCTAAACATTTTTATAGCAGTATGCGCAAGTGAGAGTTAATTCCACACCTAGATACACAGAATTTAAGGCAGAGCTTCATCTCACAATGTTTACAAGTCCCTCCAGGTTTATCAGTAATGTGAGCATTCAGAATTGAATAACAGTAAGGTGAGTGGCTGCAACCTGAACAGCCCTGGACCCAATCCCATTAGCAGTGCCAAAGTAAGAGTATCAAAACCTAGAAGACAGCGAAAACATTACAACCAGACCTCAGATCATTAGGTCACAAAATAAAGAACCACTGCATGATGTGTTTCACACCATCAATTCTACCCTGACATGCCTGGAGATGTCCTGTTGATGGTTACAGAAGTGGTGAAAACATTAAACTTAACTTACTTAACTTTTTAACAATTTTTTCATTTCAATAAATTTATTTTGATTTGTTGGATTATTTAAGAGGAAGAGAAGAACCTGTTCATGTTTTTCAACCTATGGAAGAAGAAAAAATAGTATTATTTCATTTCTAAAAATGTAATGAGTATTAATTTCACTTCAAGGAAATTCTACCCACTTGTTTCTGTAACTCTGTGCAACAGCAATTCATCCTGCATGTCTTTTCTAAAAGCAAGTACAAAAGACTATTAAAGAATATACACCATAAAGAATTAAAAAATTGAGTCGTCTGAATACACACAGCTCTACCCCTTAGGCATGGGTTCTAACTATAAAAGACTTAATTAACTTCTCCCTTGGGCTTTAATATTTTCTACTACTGAGCCCTGGGTTTCACCAAAGTAACGTCCCCATCTCCAAAATTCTAGGTCTTTTGCCTATCATATGTGGGATATCTCTTCAGCCAAGGGCAAGCCTTCCAAATAATCATCTTAAGAGATAACTATGAGATCCAATCTCATACAAACTCTTCTCACTTTGGTCAGGATCGAATGTAGTTGGAAGTCATTCTGAATGCTAGACATTTCTAAAACTCTCAGAATCAATGCTATCTCCAATGGGATCACTCAACTCTGCTGAGCCTAAGCTAAGGAAAATCTGGACGGGGAGGCCTGCTTCTATCCAGTGGCTCCCCTGAGGTGACAGCATGAGTCTTACAAAGGGGGAGGATGAAAGAAACATGACCACAGAGACTAAGGAAAAACCAAGTCACCTACACTGATTACATCTGTTCTTAATTACGCTTATATTTGTCATTAAACTTGAAAAAATATACGTACTTAAAGTACTTTGCTTTTTAGATGTGATGCTTTTTGCCAGACCATATGTCACCAGCTTATCAGCTAGATTGACAATAACATTTCCAGAGAATTTCTCAACTGACACTGTATGGACATTCTTGGTAATTCCTTTTACAGAAAGCATTACACTCTGATTCAACATGAAATTTTTTAGTAGTTCCATTACTAATTGAGAGCAGCTTCCATTCAATTCCATCAGTCCTGGGGAAAAAAACCTGAATATTAATCTTTGAGCCCCTTTAAACAAGATAAATATTTACATATATCATCTAAAGATAATAAGCAAAAGTCTCACTTTAGCTGGCTTGGGTAAGCTTTGATGTACTACTGCTGTTGCATTAAAAAAAAAATCACTCAATAAATACTCATTGGTCCCTATTACCTGTCAAACACTAATCTAGGTCTAGAGGGAATAAAACAGACAACTGTCTGTTGCCGTGGACCTATGTCCATTATAATGGGAGAAGCAAACAATAATAGTATGTTCCAACTCTCTCCCTGAGTCAAAACCAAGCAAACTAAGAGGCAACGAGTGAGTTTTTATCTGCTAGGACCACTATGTAATGAAATCAGGAGTAAGAGTAAAAAGCTACTTTAACACTCATTCACTTTATTCAACCACCAACTAAAGAGCTAAACATGTGCAGATAGAGTACATAGTAAAGTACTCCCAAGTGGTATTATCTCTGTCTCCAAAGAGAGCACCATGACAGAGCCTAGAAGCTCTTGGATAAGGCTCAGATGGCCTACTTCTCCCCTGGCCTTGCCACTTCTAGCTGTGCAATCTGGGGCCAAACAATCTCTGAACAAATAAGCTACCAATGTAATTTCTGTGACAATGAAATAAAGGATGAAAGATAGGGTTTTTTTTTTTTTTTTTTGTTAGCTCTGCTTGATATTCAGAAGTCTGAGCAGTTTCTGAAATGCCCATTTGATTCAGACAGAGGCTATAAAACAGAGGAGAAAAAAGAAAAATCACACAGATATCCCAATCGGAAAGTGACTTGACTGCCTACCTTCAAGTGAACATTTAATAATTTGGAAAGGAAGCTCCAGGTGCCTGATAGAAATTGGCTGCACTCTGGAAAGAGGCAGAGTTTCAAGGTTTCCATAATCTGCATAGAGCACTTTCACTTCGGCATCTGATGTCCCCAGAACAATGGCACGGTACCAGAAATCATCATCTGAAAATATGATGGAAGCTCAGGTAAGAAGTTACATACAATGACCCCCTCCCCTCCCTTAAGATGGTTATTCACATTTACATCAGTGAGAAATTCATGCCAACATTTCTGGTTAGAGTCCAGATGAAACACAAGCATCACTTCCATTCTTTCCAGATGCTACTAAAAAGATAACTACATGATTAAAAAGAAAATGGCACAAAACCACAAGGATATAGAGGACAAGAGAGAAGACAATGTAATATTGGAAGCTGGAAAGCAGATGGCAGGAATGGAAATGATTTAGCAGAGTTCAACCAAAGCTGGCTATGGGAAAGCAAAGAGGCATCTTCATTTGCATCCTGAATCCCAAGCCCTAATAATTAATGCATTCCAAGATAGTAGTGAGGATGGAGCTGAAAATGAGGGCTGAGTAAAGAAAGCAAACTTACTTCCCAAGACATCTGAATAGTTTATAAACACATTTACACAAAGAGGACGATCAGTTTTATGTTCACGTGTTTTAATAAAGCTTAGAATGTCCTCCCCATTTCCAGGCATCTGCTCCTACTCAAGGGCAAAAGACTAGAGGTTTCTTCTCCAGAGAGGATGAACCAGATAGACTACTAGACTCAATAAGAGGAAGAAATTTACCAAGAACACTGTTGGGCAAGCTATGCACACCAACCAGGAGACAATGATTCCACCAAGTGAAATGCACTTCAAGATACCAACAGCAGGAGCCTCAGTGAAATGGCACAGCTCCATGACCCAACAGTGAAGGCCAGCAGTGTACAAGCTCTGCCCACAAAGAAGCTTCCAATTAACTTTTAAGTGCCCCACTGCAAGTCAACAGCAAAGAATCACCAGACATTTGAAGAAAGCTTCAACGTGACAGAGTAGAACAAAATAGGAACTCAAGAAAACAGGGAGAAGACAGGGACAATTAGAAGAATGATACTAAAATCTGCTAACAAAATCGCCTTCCATCCTTGAAATAAGAGCAAGTCAGCATTAAAGACACACATTTGAAAAAACAAAAAAGCTACTGAAACTAGATATGTGGTATCAAAAGTGAAATACTCAATAAATTGGAAGATAGAATCAAGGAACTCTTATAAAAAAACAAAATTGAAAGAGAACAGGAAACTTAGCAGAAGAATTTCAAGTCCAATATTAGAATATTTGGAGTTCCTTGGGGTACCTGGGTGGCTCAGTCAGTTAAATATCTGACTCTTGGTTTTTAACTCAGGTCACAATCTCAGGGTCTTGAGATTGAGCCCTGTGTGGGCTCCATGCTCAGCAGGGGGTCTGCTTGAGATTCTCTCTATCCCTCTCTCCCTCTACTCCCTCCCCATTGTTCTCTCTCCAAAATAAATCTTAAAAAAAAAAAATTATCTGGAGTTTCTAACAGAATAGGAAAGAAGGTAATAAAAAAAATTTCAGAAAAATTTCTCAAAACCGAAGCTCATCAATTTCTAGACTTCAGGGCCCACCCAGTATGAGTGCCCAACACAATAGTGAAAACTAGTACCAAGTCACATTATGAATTTCAAAACATGTAATAAAGAGATTACCAACAGGTCCAGAAAGGGGAAAATAAAATACAAAGTTTGGAGACTCTAAATGACCTCTCTCTTGACCAGCAACATCAACAGCTAAAAAACAATAAAAGCAGGACACATGGCTGGCTGAGTTAGTGGAGCTTGAGGCTCCGGATCTTGGGGTTGTGATTTCGAGCCCCATGCTGGGTGTAGAGATTACTTAAAAATAAAAAATCTTAAAATAACAAAAGCAATGTTTTCAAAATTTTAAGGGAAAGATGATTTCCAATCTAGAATTCTGTATCTAGGCAAGCTATCAATTAACTATCAGGGTAAAATCAACATTTTTTCAAACATGGAAGTACATGGGGAGATAACAGAAAATTTATCTTACACGTACCTTTTTTCAGCTTCTGGAGGATGGATATAACCAATTATTATAATAAATCCAAAGTAAGGATTTCAGAAAACAAGGTGACACGAGGAAGGGAGAAACGGAGCCAACATGGTGGGATGGGAGAGAAATCTAAACACAAGGGAGTGGTGTTGAAACAACCCCAATATGAGGATGAAGGAAAACTTCCAGGGTGATCACTCAAGTCTGGAGAACAAGCAGTCTAGATAGGAGGTCAGAAGGCTGCAAGCACTAGCAATGTAATAAAAGCTGACAAAGTACATGAAGTGTTCACTAGGAGAATTTTTTAAATTATTTTATTTATTAATGAGAGACAGAGAGACAGAGAGAGAGAGAGAGAGAGAGAGAGAGAGAGAAGCAAGTTCCATGCAGGGAGCCCGACATGGGACTCGATCCCGAGTCTCCAGCATCAGGCCCTGGGTTCAAGGCAGCGCTAAACCGCTGAGCCACCTGGGCTGCTTCTCTAGGAGAATTTATACCAATGCAGAGAACTGGAGATAATCAGTGAGAATATACAAAACACTAATAACAACAAAGGCTGCAAAAGAGATACGTAACCATGAATCTCATAGGTCACGGTATACTATGTAGCTAGGCTGTGAATAGTGTTTATGCAATTCCAATAAAGTAATTGTAAATACTCATCTAACCAAAAATTGCGACACATTTCTATCAGGAAGAAAGGGAGGGAAAGTATAGATCCAGGTATCATACAAAAGAAAAGCAAAACTAAAAATACATTTAACTGTGTATCTAAATTTAAAGACTTTTTTTAAAATTTTTTATTTATTTATGATAGAGAGAGAGAGAGAGGGAGAGAGGCAGAGACACAGGCAGAGGGAGAAGCAGGCTCCATACACCGGGAGCCCGACGTGGGATTCGATCCCGGGTCTCCAGGATCGCGCCCCGGGCCAAAGGCAGGCACCAAACCGCTGCGCCACCCAGGGATCCCAAAATTTAAAGACTTTTTAAATGAATTCCATGTGGGCAACAGATCAAAAGCATTTTAAATCCATTGCTGGCAAGAGAAAGATGACATGGGCCCACTCACACACTTTTGGTACATATGGACATTTCTTTAAGATGCCTACAGACCAATATGCTTCTGAAACTTACAAAACAATTTACATCCTTTGACTCAGGAATTCCCCAAATTTCTGTCCAAGAATTTTTACTCTATTATTTTTATTCCTAAAACATATTTGTTAACTTTTAATATGAAATATTAAACAACAGGATAACGGCTAAAGCATACCTGATTTAACAAGTCTAAGGCACTCATTCCTTTTTTAGCAAATTCATAAAGTTCTATAAATTATTTGCAATTCCTCCACATATATTATCAGTCCACCATATAGAGTTATCTAAAGCTAACTATCTAGAAATACTGATAGATTTGTAGATATCTACCTATATCCTTACCTAAATATAATCTATAATTATAGAACAGAAAAGCTAAATGACCCCAACACATGAATCAAACCTATAATCTTGCTGTTAATCTAACAAAATACACAAAATTTCATGAAAAAGAGAACCAAATAATTCTAATTCCTCTTTAATATTTTACCTAAAAGAACCTTACTTGTGTATTTGGCACAGCACACATCACCAATTTTGGGTCTGTAAGACAATTGGCTTTTCTGAGTATTGCAATATTCTAACAATTCAGCTGTCAATATTTTCAATCTTTCTTGATCTCCTGAAACATAAGAATGCAATCTTTTGTGAAGAAATTTGCAGTGCTGTTTAGACAGTATGTAAAAAGAATGTCAAATTGAATCACTAAAAAAAAAAAAAATCTGTTTACATTTATATTTTAAGAATATATAAAACCAATAGTGCTTACCTTATACAAAAGGGATGTAATACTGGGAGGGAGTAAGAAGGAAGCCTCTGGACAGCTAACTTCTAGATCAGGGTGGTTGTACCAGTGTGTTCACACTACAGAAACTTATTAAGTCATCCTTTGACAATTTTTCAGTATACTTTTCATTTCGGTATGTTACAGTTAATAAGATAAAATGAAATATTTCCAATTCATCAGGATTCAATAACCCTAAGTCCCTGCTTTCCACTACACAAATTAAAGATGATGATTTGGATCCCAGATATAGATTTAAGAGCACTTGTTGGCATCAAAATTTGTGGTTTTACCATTTGAAACAAAGATTCACTTTCTCAGCCTTCAAGTACCTGCAATTATGTTGAATAGCCATCATCCACCTTGCATTAACTCTCCTTCTGACACTACTAGGATAAACTCAAATATATTGAAGAGATTTCTTAATTATAAACTTCCATGAAACAAGAAAGAAAACATTTATATGCTATTTTACTAAGGAGTAGGTCCAGTATAAAACATTTCTCTAAGTTTCTAAGCTATAAAAACGCTGATTATAGACTGATTACAAAGTATTTTCAATATACCAAATTTTTTTTAAAAGGTCATAGAAGGTTAGCTTTGTAAATGCAATTCAACATAGATAGTATCTATTTTTGTGGTGGTATATTTTTAAAAAATAAATTTTACAGTGGTTAAGGACACCATTTCCTTATAAAAAGCTGTAGATTTGACTGTGTTGGGTAGGTGCTAAATGCAAAAGCATTTCCCTTCATGCTCTCATTTGTGTTTGTATAACTAAATATGCCTGAAATATTATAATGGCCAATTTTTCCTTAAAACACTGAACAAAACAAAAATCACTAGCCTTCCCTTCTCTATCACTTCCTAAAGGGTTCAGATAAGCGTTTTATTATACAGTTAAAAAGAGGAGCATAAATGTGTCTCAAATTTTGGTTTCTTACCTGGCATCTCACTTGGTAGAGCATAAAATAAATGTGGGCTTACAATTTCTAATATGCTTGCTTGTACAGTTTTATTAACTGGCAATTCTATCGTCCTCCACTGCTCAGCTAAAGAGATGGCTGAAAACATACAAAACAGATCTTGTATAAAACAGATCAAAGTTGTTATTCTCTTCCAGTTATATATTTAATCACTTAATTTACTCATCAACTAATAACGTTCACAAATCTCTAAAATGACAATCTGTAATTTCACAAAAACAATCTATTCAATTTGAGGGATTCTGTTAAAAAAAAAAAAAAGTCCAACCTAGAATGAGAACCTTTGACCTACCACACTCCATTTCTGTAAGTATATTTAATGTAGTATATTTCCATTTCTGTAAGTATATTTAACTCTTACAAATGATTCACTTTAAGGGCTATGTAACTGTATGATGCAAGATTATCTGATAAATAATTACAGTGTTTAATAAAGCCATGTTTCAATAAATACTATTTTCTTTAAAGACTTATTAATTTGAGAGAGAATGTGCATGTGCAGGAGGAGCAGAGGAGGAGACTCCATGCTGAGCACAGAGCCCAATGTAGGACTTAATATCCAGGCCCTGAGATCCCTCCCAGCCAGAGCTGAAAACAAGAGTCAAACGCTCAACCGACTGTACCACTCAGCCACCCAATAAATACTAATTTTAATAACTTACTATTAACCTACTTCCACAAGCATGTATTCCTTTGGAAAAACTGCATCACTTGGATAGAAAAGGTTTTGTAGCCCCAAAAGCAAAGGATAACATAAATTTAAATAACAAATCAATGGTTTAAATGTTACCTTGAAGCCCGACATCAACTTGAAGATTATGTTTACCCACAGATCTATTATTTGTCAAGTCTTTATGTCGTGAACTAGTTCTTAAAACCAGATATTCATCAATCAGAACATCATTAATTATTCTGGGGTAAGAAGTGGAGAGATCAGTGAGCTCGATTCCCAATCCCTGTCCAGTGATTTCAACCACTCGGGCTTGGAGTTTTATCCCTGCAACGCACATCTGAAATCTTGCTATGGCTTCTTCAGTCCAATGCTTGTTTCTAGGCTGTATATCTGGCAAATAAGAATAGCATTAAAAAGAATTCTGTGCCCAAGCTGCATTTTTGCTTCAACAGTGTATGGAACTGGCCTTGACCAGTTTGGGCCAGGCATTTTGAATATCTTTTTTCAATGTTCGATTACATTTCTACACCTTTCATGCCTGAGTTACAGATAACACATTTGTAAACATACTAACTAGAGTTTTAGGAGGCTCAGAAACTTCCCTTACTTTCTGCACTAGTGTATCTTTACCTGGCATTTTTCCAATAGGCAAAAAATATGGTTAAAAGCCATCACTGTATTCTGTTACACAGACAATGATGAGTTCCTAATTATTCTGGTAGAAGACATCAGCCATACATTTTCACTTCTCTGGACAGTTTTCTAATGATTTCAAAATGTTAAACAACTTAACCAAAAATTATTTTTCTGATAATTTTGGTTTATCCCCTTATTTTAATAATAGCAATCCTCAAACTTGAGTGTGCATCTGAATTACCTACAGGGCTCATTAAAACAGATTTCAGGGCCATATTCTAGAATTTCCAATTTAGCGGATCTTGGTTGGGAACTAAGAATCTGCAGTTTAAGTTCTCAAGTTGATGCTGCTTGTCTGGAGGCCACATTATTTTTTTTTTTTTTTAACATGGAGGCCACATCTTTTTTATTTATTTATTTATTTATTTATTTATTTATGATAGTCAGAGAGAGAGAGAGAGAGAGAGAGAGAGAGGCAGAGACACAGGCAGAGGGAGAAGCAGGCTCCATGCACCGGGAGCCCGACGTGGGATTCGATCCCGGGTCTCCAGGATCGCGCCCTGGGCCAAAGGCAGGCGCCAAACCGCTGCGCCACCCAGGGATCCCTGGAGGCCACATCTTAAGCACAGACATAAAACATGGTAATTAAAAATAATCTGAAACATAGTTAAGTAGAAAGAAAACATGCAAAAGGAAAGATAAAAAGCATCTATGCTTCCAGACATAAGCACTATTAACATTTTGCTATCCAATCTTCCATAATTTTCATGTGCATATGCAAAGATCCACAAGCACATACATACATCTTTTATAAAGAAACCTTTGCAATAATAACAGCTATTATGGATATAATGCCAGGTAGCGTTAAGTGCTTTATATTTTTATCTCTTCTATTCTTAATGACTCTTTGAGGAAGAGGATAGAAACAGATGAGAAAACAGATGCCCCAGAGACTTTGAATCACTTGCTAAGATTCTCACAGTAGGTAGGAGAGTAGGTTCCAGAGCCTGTCCTTATAATTATAATGCTGTCCTGTATCTCTTTTGTAACTTGCATGCTTCATGTACCTCATGAACAATTCTTTACATTAATAATACTTGGTTAACATCCCTTTAATTTCTGGGTGATAAGAGGAAACAATTAAAATCAAACTCTGCATGCCAGAAAAATTGTTTCTAAGCATTCATTTAGCCCTCACAACAATCAACTGAAATAGGTGTTACTATTGTCAATTATATGGATCATCATCTAACCAATCCTCTGTAATTGGCTTTTTAGGTGGTTTTGCTATTATTAACAGAAGTATAATGAATTTCCTTGTAGGTAAACTTTGGGATAAATTGTTATGAGTAAAAATGTGGAAACAAAAAGGAATATTTGAAACTCTTAAATCCTGCAAAATGCCTGCAAGAAAACACACTGGTTTTTACTATCAAGCACAGAAAAGTAGCTGCTTCCCTACTTTAACATCAATACTGAACATTTCAGCAAATACCTTCAAAAATACATTTCTAAATGTTATGAGGCAGGACCTTCTAATTCAAATGTAAAATTATAAATGTTAATACTTAAAAGTGCATATACTCTAAGAATTAGAAAACAGTTGAGAAAGTTTCTTATTCTGCACCATACCTACTAACCAGCACCGTATCCCTTGAAATGGAAGTTTTAAAAATTTGGATGGGATCATTTGGAGTTCATCTGCAGTAACTTCTTCCATGTTCCCATAATCCACAAAATGGACTTTAATGTTTCCATCTGCTAAGATTTCCTTGACTAAAGCACGATACCAATTACCATCACCTATATTTAACACAAAGTTTGTAACATGGAACATTATTTCCCTTCTATTAACATTTGAACTTTCAATCTTCAACAACAACAAAAAACTTGTATCTAAAGTAACCAAGTAAATTTGCTCTCTTCTCCAGATGATGGCTTTATTTTTCATTCAGAAATCCCCAGGAGAGTTCTCAAAATCCATTTTTAGAATACATCCAAAATTTTTACAGCACCACAACTTTAACATCAGATATAAATTAAATATTTCATTTATCACTCATCCAATAATTAAGAACATGAAAGTGAATGGAAGACTTCATAACCTTGAACATATCTGTCATCTGGATGCCTTATAATACTCTTGTAACTAAGGACAATTTTTTTTATTGGTTTTAGTAAAATAATACAAAAACTCATACAGTGAAATTAAAGTGTTTAATAAAATATACTTTCACACTAAACATGCATGGGGTGACCAGAAGAAACAATGAACCTGCAGTGAACAGGTTCCGTTACCTAACTTTAATATCAGAAATTTTGAAAGAAAAGCATTTAACAAAATTTAACAGAGCTGAGGTAATAAAATTTCATTTGTTACAAAGAGAAGACAAAACATGGTATTCTAAGCATTCATTTAGTCTTGATTGTGAGAAATATTTGCTTAAATATAAGGAGGAAAATAAGCATTAAAAATAAGAGATGAATGTCAGGAAACAACAATTTCTATCAAAATCAAGACTGTTTCAACTGCAACTTACCTGCAAAAGAAGCACAACATGGTCTCCCTATTTCTGCCTTAAAATCACTGGGCACCTTCTGCTGGCAATATTCTGCTAATGACTTGTTCAAATCATTGAGTTTCTTTAAGGCTGAAAACAATACACATATTGCATTCAATATTTAAAAAGCATGCAGAATACAGATTTTCCTTTAAAGTTAGGAAATGTTTTGATCATACAATCTCAGGTACATTCCCAAACAACTATTAAGTATAGACGAGATGCTTTTCTCTTTTCCTTATTAAAAAGTTAACTGGGAAAATAAGTCATTATTAGTTCATGCTCTTGGTAATCTCCTACTATGGCACTATTACCAGCCTATCAGAGCATGCACACAAGCCTGTACAGAATGTGACATACAAGCTGTCCTGAAGGAGGACACATAATTACTATGTGGACGCACAGATGTCTGCTAAGGAAATTTAGAGGGATGACCTATGTGTGCTAAGCTTTTATAGGAAATAGGAGAGATAAGGAGAGGGTGCTCCAGAAGGAAGAAATGGCTCTGAGGTAAAGTATACAATTAAGCAGTCAAAACTTACTCGGAGGGAGCAGTTTGGCAAAGTCGGGAAATGGAAGGTGAATCACTCAAACACACCAGCCAGAAGCTGGAGAGCTTTAAAATGCTGAGGGGTGCCTAGGTGGCTCAGTCAGTTAAGCATCCAATTCTTGATTTCAGCTCAGGTCATTATCTCAGGGTCTTAAGACAGGTCCTCCCTCCCCGCTTCTGGCTCCCTGTTCAGCTCAGAGAATGCTTCTCTCCTTCTTCTCCCTCTGCCCCTCACCTGGCTCACACACTCTTTCTCAAAATAAATTTAAAAATTAATCTTTAAAAAAAAAAAGAAAAGAAAAAACTATGTAAATTTGCCTCTCAGTCCAAGACCTAGTGGAGAACGAAAGTGCCTAAGTCATTTACAGTATTTTATCATTTAAGCAAACAGGGATACATACATTCACACAAGCATATGCATAGACTACCCTTCTATTTTTTTTTGCATAGATTTTTTAAAAAATTTATTTATTCATTCATGACAGACACAGAGAGAAAGAGGCAGAGACACAGGTAGAGGGAGAAGCTCCCTCCAAAGAGGGAGCCTGATGTGAGAGTTGATCCCGGGTCTCCAGGATCACACCCTAGGCTGAAGGCAGTGCTAAACTGCTGAGCCACCCGGGCTGCCCTCATAGACTACTTCTAAAAAGATATTTAGAAAATTGAGAGAGGGACTGAGAAACTTACTTCCCACTATATACTCTTTTTAATTTTTGAATTTCCTACAATATGCTTGTATAATCACCTATGAAAATAAAAACTTCAAAAATTTTTAATTTTATATGAAATTGTGGCCTATCTACCAGATGATTCCAAAAAGAGGAATGACAATCTCACAAACTGGGAACCAGACAGGGACGTAGGCACCTAGTTTAAAGTCCCCAAGTGACAGAGAAGAAAATCAAGGTTTAGAAATGTTAAAATTAATAATGCCCATCAGAATACCTCAAATAAAAAGGAAGGAAAATACAAGTATGAGAATGTGGAGCAGCTAAAACTCTCAAACTGACAACTGTCATAATCACCATGGAAACTTTTTAGCATTCATTGGTCAAAGCTGAAAATATATATGCCCTTTAGGATATGGGCCAGTAATTTCATTCCTGGGTATGTATTCAAAAGAAACACATATACACATGCACCAAATTTACATGGAAATGTTTACACCAATATCATTTTATAGCTCAGAACTAGAAATAACCCACATGTCTAACTTTATAAAAGAAACAAATTTGCAATATAGTCAATGTGACAAGAAACAGGATACTGCTACATGTAAAAATGAAGAAATGACCTCACAATGTGAAAAAAAGATGACAAGGCACACAGGAGTACATATTGTATGATTACATTTATGTAAAGTTCAAACCCAGGAAAAACTATGCTATTAGAAGGCAGGAGAGTATTAACTTTTTAAAGTGAAGGTGTAGTCATCAAAAGAGGCACACGGAGGTTTGAAACTTCTGGATTACTGGTAATACTTCACTTCTTGACCAAGATATTGGTTATTCAGGGTTTTGCCTTAGTGTAGTAATAACACATTATCACAATGTGCACTTATATATATGAACGTTATGCTTTAATAAAATCAACCATTATATTTAATTTTCAAAAATGAATTTAAGGGACACCTGGGTGGCTCAGTGGTTGAGCATCTGCCTTTGGCTCAGGGTGTGATCCCAGGGTCCTGAAATTGAATTCCACATCAGGTTCTCCATAGGGAACCTGCTTCTCCCTCTGCCTATGTCTCTGCCCTTCTCTCTGGGTCTCTCATGAATTAAAAAAAAATAAAGAATTTAAAAGACATTCTGTGGAATCCAAACTGATTTGATTACTAAGAGATTTTTTAAAAGATTTTTATTTATTTATTCATGAGAAACAGAGAGAGAGAGAGAGAGAGGCAGAGACACAGGCAGAGGGAGAAGCAGGCTCCATGCAGGGAGCCCGACTTGGGACTCGATCCTGGGTCTCCAGGATCACACCCTGCTGAAGGCGGCGCTAAACCACTGAGCCACCTGGGCTGCCCTGATTATTAACAGATTTTTGAAAATAGAAATAATGGCTTAAAATGGAATAAAAAGCAATTAAGTATAACCAAATCTTTCTTGGAAGTAGAAATACCCACTTGACCCTTCTTGAAAAGACAGTACTTCTATTATTCAGTAAACTCCTCTTCAGTTAGAAGCTATACCACTGTATTTGTAAGAAAAAATAAATGAGAAGAGTCCACTTACCATCCTCTTGAAGCACATGGCAATAAAATTCTCCAGGACTGTACATCATACAGACCACAACATCTACTGTTTGGTCAACAGCAAGTTCAACCCATGTCCACTCCAATGGATTTGGTTTTTCTTCTACACCCAAGGGATCTGTGAAAATAAGTGAACTTATGCAAAACAGGGTCAAAGTGAGGATAAGAGATGGGGCTGGTGAGGAACCTGCTTTTGAAGAACTGAATTTCCAGTGACTTTTTTAAGTGACTTTACAGTAAAGTTCATTGGTATTACAGTTAGCCATAACTACACCTCACTGAATTTCAAATTCACATTTCTGACTGATCCTTCAGCTCTAGTGACCCACAGTTGTTTTGCTTTTTTCAGTTTTCCAACATACTCATAATGTATTTAAATGAAGGCTTGATGCAAAAAGACACAACATCCATTCTTTCTGAGAGTGCAAGAATCCACACATACACAAAACCATCTGAACTCCAGCACAGACATCATCGAGTAGACATTTTACTTACCGTTGGCTTCTTTCATGACACTGGGTTTTTCTGCCAACATCCCTGTCTCCCGAACAGCAAAGCCAGCATCTCTAAGAGCCTGAGCAATGCTGACATGAGGCGTCACAGATTTATCTACAAGCTCCACCAGGGAGCTGTTTTCCAGCTTGTCTGCCACTCTCACCATGATTATTTTGTTCTGCACAATTTTTTTCATCAGACAAATAGCTTCTGGAGTCCAAATTCCTAATGATGGCTTTACTCCTAGCAAGGAATTTTTAAAAGAATATTAAAATCCTTCTTATAACAGGCATAGGAAATTTAGATCCTAGTTTCCAAAAAGTTAAACCTAAGGAATCTGACAAACACCAAAACCAAAAAGTCCCACCTGAGCAGAAGGATTTTCTAATTAAAATGAAGGCAAAATTACAAAGAAAAAGCCTATAGAAAACTGTTGTACTTCTATGTAAACAAACCGTAATTCCATCGATATAAAATGTCCAGAAAAGCAAATCTCGAAGACAATAGATGAGTGATTTCCTGGGGTGCTAGGATTAACTACCACCTGGCACAAGAAATTTCATCAGGGTAATGTCTATACAACTCAGTAAATTTACTAAAAATTACTGAATTGTATACCTAAGACTGAGAATCATAGGTATATAGATTATATCTCAAGAACTTTAGAAAGTTATAAACAAAAATATCAAATGGTCCAGGAAGAAATATTGGTCCTTACAATGACATAAAAAACATCTGCAGCACTTATTGCAAAGGCACTTGCAAATCAATAACCCAAGGTTATGCCTAGTCTTTTCATAAGAATACAAGTAACTCAGGAAAAAAACGTTCAGCCTCACAGTAATAAAGTAATTGAAACGATTTAGTTTTAACTTCCCAAAACTGCCAACATGAAACAACAAAGAGGTGTATTTATTTGGTGTACAAACACATGAAGGAACAGGCGCCCTGCTTGCTACCTTTCTGGTAGATGTGTAAACTAGTTCTACCCTTTTTGGAGAACAATCATAATATATATCAGAAACGTGAAAAGAAACATATCCACAGACACCTCCATTTCACCTAAGGAGGAATTTTGTAGAACGACATTTTGCAGCCAATCCTAACGAAAGGATCTTGGACAGGTTGCAAAATGTAGTTAGAAGAACACTGCTATGGGACGCTTGGGTGGCTCAGTCAGTGAAGTGTCTGCCTTTGGCTCAGGTCATGACCCCAGGGTCCTGGAATAGGGGTCCACGTTGGGCTCCCCACTCAGCAGGAAGTCTGCATCTCCCTCTGTGCCACCAACAACCCCCCCCCACCCGCTCATGCTTTTTCCCTCTTCCTTGTTCTCTGTCTGAAATAAAATCTTTTTAAAAAATTTATTTATGATAGAGAGAGAGAGAGAGAGAGAGAGAGAGAGAGAGAGAGAGAGAGAGGCAGAGACACAGGCAGTGGGAGAAGCAGGCTCCATGCACTGGGAGCCCGATGTGGGATTCGATCCCGGGTCTCCAGGATCGCGCCCTGGGCCAAAGGCAGGCGCCAAACCGCTGCGCCACCCAGGGATCCCTGAAATAAATAAAATCTAAAAAAAAAAAAAAAATCACTGCTAGTAGCAAAGCCTTGGAAATATCCTTCTGATAATCAGAAAGTACTTTAATTTTGGTATATCTGAATGAAGGTTATAGAAGTCAATTTATTAACATGGAAAAAAAGCTCTGGCTCCTGGTGGGATAAATTTTATATACAATAATACTAAGCAGGGATACCTGAGTGATTGTGCTTCAGCTCAGGTTGTGATTCCAGAGTTCCCAGGGTTGAGACTTATATCAGGATCCCTGTAGGGAGCCTGTTCCTCCCTCTGCCTATGTCCCTGACTCTGTGTCTCTCATGAATAAATAAAAATCTCAAAACAAAATAATCCTAAACATATGTTCATAATGTTCATACTGTTTTATTTTTTTATTTTTTTTTTAAAGATTTTATTTATTTATTCATGATAGTCACACAGAGAGAGACAGAGAGGCAGAGACACAGGCAGAGGGAGAAGCAGGCTCCATGCACCGGGAGCCCGACGTGGGACTCGATCCCGGGTCTCCAGGATCACGCCCCGGGCCAAAGGCAGGCGCCAAACCGCTGCGCCACCCAGGGATCCCTGTTCATACTGTTTTAATAAGGTTTTGTCCTACTTTATGTAATGAGTCAGCTTCTATGATATTTATCAATAATGCAGACTCTACGAATAGCAGAAAATAACTTCATAACCACAGATACATTAAACTTATTTATTAGAGAGAGCAAAATAGTCCTGTGTATTTGAAATGTTCTATTAAGGGTTATTTTTGCATTAAGAGAAGTTATATCTAAACACATTCTTTTATTTTCTGGGTAGTTTAATCTCAATTCTAATGCTCTTACTTTAGGTTTTAATATTTTAAGAATATGGGGCCACAAAAACGTCTTACCTGCCAGCACACACTTTATAGCTTGCATTGGCAATTCCAACAGTTTTGGAGTTATGGGACAAAGTCTCGTCAAACTAAGGATTTCAAAGTTTCCATAATCTACATATCCAACCAGTACAGATTGTTCAGAAGAATAAGCTAAAACAGAGGCACGGTACCACTGATCATCCTCTGAAAAAAAGAGGTACTCCATCTCAGATGATTTTTCAGTGCAGATACAAACAAAAACTTTCCCTCTCAAATTGAGACATAATCTTCTGTAGGTCTTACTTTAACAGAATATTAAGCTTTATAGAACAACATATGCTTAGTCAACATTGCTACTTGTGCTTCTCACAAGACTTCAACTCCTAAAATCTCACCTTTATGCATATCTTACTAGACCACTCACGTCCTTGGCAGTCATGCCTTACAACATGCTTTGTCTTCCCCACAGACACTTAACTCCTTAGGACAGAGAGCATGTCCAGATCTTGTGAATGAATCCACAGTGATGCCTAATCAATACAGGAACAATTTGCTAAGCATCAAGCAGGGCTAATTTTAGAATATCTGGCAGTAGGAGTCAACTAGACTCCACTGACCAGGCAATCAATTTAATGGAGGCACATTTGTATCGCCCCTTCTTGTATCTCCCCTCTGTGAGGCCAATGACTTCTTTCCCTTCAGCAGAGAAAAAATGAACCCAGTCATCATAGCTGTGCCATGACAGCTCCATGCTTCCAGGCCCTCTTGCTAGTCCCAAGAAAACTGGCAAACACATGACCTTGGAAGATTATGTTTATATACTGATATAAATGGAATTATCTGCAAAAGTCCACAAAAACTAAAGTGCTAATGAAACAACAGAAACTTCCTTTACCAACTCCTCCAGCATTTACAGGCCTTCTTCCATTACAGAAATTTGTTTCACTGTACATATTTAAAAATATGATTGGTGCACTTTAATACTCAGACTTCGAATGCAGCCATCCAATGCAAACTGAAGATTGTTTCATTTCTTTTTACTTCATTATAAGTTTAAAAAAATTCAGTAATACTCTTCCGTTACCTGAGAATCGCGCACAACAGATATCACCAATGGTTGGATAAAAATCTGAGCGTGGAGACACTTGACCACAGTACTCGCTAAGGGATGCCTGAAGTTCAGCGAGCTTATCTGCAGATATAGATCACATCTTAAAATAAATACAAATCTGTAAGTTAACTTCCCTTTCACTTTTTCACTCTCTTGAAGTATATAAGGCTATACTGATAGCACAAAACAAGAAACTTTACTTACGTCCACTCTGTAGCTGTTGACAAAAAAAGTCTTCTGGAGTCTGAACGTGGGCAACCACACCACAGAACTCATCGCCTACATTCAAAGTTAACACTTTTGGGATTAGATCACTTCTGTCTACAACAATTTTGTTTTCAGCTGTCATTTTTCCAACATCCTCAAGGTCATCTTAACAGAAAACGAAAACAAGGCATTTTGGTTTCATTAATCAACATGTGGAGTTTTTCAGGCCCAATCAGGCTCCTTCCATACTATAAGCTACTCTTCCTTCCCAGAACACACTCCCAATCCCCCAGCAACTTCATCATTTCCTACTCAGTGTGGTGTCACCTTAAAAGGCTTCTCTCCAAACCCAGGTTAGGTGCCTGTCCCAGGTGCTCCCACTGTACTCTGCATGAACTTCCTCCTCATACCATTTTATTATAATCTCTTCTATGTCTGCACTGACCACAGAATAACCGCCATGAAGGCACCTCCACAGTCCCTCAGTGCAGTAAATGCTCCCCAGAAGATTTTTGTTCCTTCCACGGGATACCTCTGCAACACCTGCTACTATTACTGATGACTGACTCCTAGAAGCACTCACCCTCCTGTTGCTCTGGCAACTTCTTCCCCATCCTTTGTCCACCTCTCCCATCATGGCTTCTCACTTGATGTTGTATGCCCGATTTATCTCCCTTTTTCCCCCTCTCTCCGCACTCACCCTAAGATGACATCATTTATGGTTTCAACTATGACTACTATCGGACCAGTGAGTATTTGGTTTTCTCTAAATGGCAAAGAATTACTGAAAGCTTTTCAGGAGAGCTGTCATACCAAGATTTGTGTTTTGGGGGATATCATGTATGTAGTACTATAAGAATACAGACAGGAGACAAAAGGTTAAGTCAGAAGGTTCTTGCAATTATCCATAAATGGTAAGGATTCCTCAACTAGAAAAATAGTAAGAAAACAAGTATTTTAAAACAGAAAAGTCTTATACAAAAGATATTCAGAAAGAAGAACCAATAAAGACTTGTCAACCAATCAGACAAAGCAAAGGACAAGAGGTAGGAATAAGGTAGATTTAAAGATGAGTCAACCTTTTTTATATAAAAGGATGCATCTGGGCAGCCCCGGTGGCTCAGTGGTTTAGCGTCGCCTTCAGCCCAGGATGTGATCCTGGAGACCTGGGATTGAGTCCCACGTCAGGCTCCCTGAATGGATCCTGCATCTTCTCCCTGTGTCTCTGCCTCTCTCTTTCTGTCTCTCATGAATAATTTTAAAAATCTTTAAAAAAAATAATAAAAGGATGCATCTAATCACAGCACCATTAACCTGGCAATCACCTCGGGATGAATAAGCAAGAGACGATGAGGTATGTTCACATCCAAAGTAACTGGCAAAAGGAACAAAGTAAAGAAAAAAACTCTACAGTAACACATAAAACTAGGCAATGAGAAAATGAAATGTTGGTAGCAAAACTTCTTGGGGGGTGCCTGATTGGCTCATTCAGTTAAGCGGCTGCTTTTAGCTCAGGTCATGATCCCAGGGTCCTGGGATGGAGCCCCATGGCTGGCTCCCTGCTCAGCGTGGAGTCTGCTTCTCCCTCTGCCGCTCCCCCCTACTCATGTGCACATGTACTCTCTCTGTCAAATAAATAGAACTTTAAAAACAAAACCAAAAAAACAAACCTCCTTGATTCTCGTTATACTAAATGAAAAACCACACGAGAAGTAAAAACTTTAAGAAGAAACACCATCTTACCAGAACAAAATGTTATACCCCTATTATTACTGCTGGCATACCCAAAAAAAGAAGGAAAAATTTAACTCAAAGTGTCACGATATTTACTACTTTAGAGATTTCTGATAATGTCAAGATTAACATGGAAGACAGGAAGGAAAACAGGCAGGAAAGACTAAGATTAGACATAATGTACTACTAAATGAAAAAGTATCAAAGAATGGATTTCGTTTCCATTAAATCTGACAGTGTGATAGCTCTGCCTTTTTTTTTTTTGTTCAGTAGAGAAGATATTCTTTAGTACCTACAGTCACTATACTGTTCAATATTAATCTGTATACTCACTTGGATCTGCACTTTGCTTCTTAGAATTTTGTGCCTTGGGTTTCAAGCCATATCCCATTTCTATGAGCACATCATCTAAGCGTTTTCCTAAAAGTGATTAAGAAAATGTTTCATAATTGATATTATACCAAGTATTAGAAGAAAGGCATAAACATGAAACAAATGAATCACAATCATCTGATCTAGAGACTATAGCTATTAATATACTGGCCTATTTCTCAATTCAGCTTCTGTGTGCAAAATACAGTTTACTAATGTTCAAACTTAAAAATTGAGTCAAAATTCCAATTGTCATGTGGCAGGAAATTTTATAAAAATATTTCACCTCAAATTCTAGGTAACATGAAAGATTTGGTTACCACCTCACTGGCATGAATATGGCCACCATTTAGGAGAAAAAAATAAATTTAGTGTTAAACCAAGACTACTTTTCTCAGACATAAAGTCTGGCTGAAACAAGAGGTAGCCAGCATGACATAAACTTCAAGTTCCTTGAAACAGCATCCAGAAGCCAGAGTCCTAACACAAAACATACAAAGAAAGAAAATAGATTTTATAGTTAATTTCACAAATGGCTTAACTGAATTTTCTAGCAAGTCACCAAGTGATGTGGGGTCTCTAAAAGCAAAAAATTAATACTTTGGAAACTGAGAAGCGATTATAAGCATACGGTCAGAAGTCACTTTTCAAACATACAGAAAGCTGGAACAGAAGAGTAGGATTCCAAGGCGTTTCCATCTCACACTTAAATACTAGGCACTTATGGGCTCAATACTAACCAAATGCAGTTCTGTAAAATTTCTTCAAGAAAAATGCACTTTGTGGTGAAACCATGGACATATACATAAATTCTTGAGTTTTTCTCCATACATGGGTAGAAGTCAGGAAAAGCGACCGTAATGTCAATATCAAAAGGTTAACACAGTCATCCCCACACACTAAGTCTGCACCTAGCCTCTTAACCCATCCAGCTCCATTAACCTGTGCTGGGTCTCTGAACAACCACAGGAGCAGGGCTAAAGCCATACTTTCATCACAACCTGAATGACTTCCGAGTGGAGCTTACTTGGCCTCACTTCATGTTTCTATTTTTTCTCTGCATTAATGGGTGAAGACTAAACATATTAAATGCTCCGTGTGAAAAAGAAAGATTTTGATCTTACCTGAACTTGGCAGCATAACATCCACAGCAAAGGTAACCACTTCTTCTTTCAAGATGTCGACAATCTTTATAGAGCAATACTGCTCCATTAACAGCGATTTAATAGTTTTGACACATTCATTGCTCCAATTCCCCTCTGCTGGGATAACACTGGCCACAAAGCACTTTATGGCCTGAAAGATTTTACATGAATTACTAAAAAATTAGTGTTTGAAAATGATTTTTACTAATAATGTAAAGAAAATATATTTCATGCTGAAAATTAATTAGAAGTCTTCAAGAACTAACCAAATGAACAATCTTATGTGTAAGTATTGGTCTCTTGTGCTACTCTATCCACAGTGCTTTTCCTTTTGGGACCTGAAGCTTGAGAAACTCATAAAAAGATAATAATTATCCCTCAAATACATATAAATTCAGGTTGCTTCCAGACAATGTAATCAACATAGAAAGAAGATGACTGTTTTAAAAGATGTCCCTAAAAATGCTAAGTTTCTCATCTAAGAAAGTACTTAACTAAATAATGCTTATTAAATGGAGCCAAGAAAGCCATTGAGTACTTATCTATATAGTAAAAGATGAAAAATATACCAATAGGTACTTTTTCATAATAACCATCACAGAATAGAACAGGCAAATACTGTGCCCATCAAAATGGGCTCTTTGGGGACACTATTAGGCATTTAGAAAGTGAAAGACTCACACATGGAGGAAATAAACCAATGTTTCTGTTTAGCTGGTGAATTCTCTTTATTGGAATTATTTCTTCATTTCCATAATCAATATATAAGACTTGTGCCTTCTTCTGTAGCATATCAATTTCTTGTATTATTACTCTGTTCCAGGTCTGAAAGTGGAATATAAGGTGCTCACGTCAAAACAGTATTTCACAATCTTAGGCTTACAAACTCTCAGCCAATCTACAGAACATGCAAGGGAAAGGCTACAGCTCTGTTCTGACATAGTCAAGTTAATTTTCTAAGAATCTGACTAAGAAATCCCTAAATTTGTCAATTTAGGAGACTTTAATATGCACAATTATCCCTGGGTTATTCTAACCCAGGAATTACTATGACACACAATGCCTCACTACAAAAATAAACACAAGCTCCAGGACTCACCATCAGTCTGTAACTGGCAGCAGGGGAGCCTACAAACAGAGCTGGAGGGGGCAAGGGCAGGCAGGAGGTGACCCAACAGACCTAGATTACTGACTGAGGATGAGATAGCCTCTTATTAAGCTGTCAAATGCATTATTAAAAGCTCTGGTGTCAAGTTTATATGACCAAAGTAAATTAAAACAGTGTATTAAATAAATAATGTCATCAGCAGTTACCTGATCAACAGTGTACTTGGCAACACAAACTTCCCCCTTAACAGGAATGTAATCTTCCTCCTGAGTCATATTTGCATATGTTTCCTTGAAGCTCCTAGATAGTTGGTTCATGTATTCTAAAACTTCTGAAGAATATAACTGCACGTAAAAGTCACTTGGGTGTTTGAATTCAGTCACTGTACCCTTTCAAAAGATGGAAAGGTGCAATAATTCACGGAGAACACAAGCAAATGTGAACTTAACACTTTCTAATAATTTAAAAAAGGTATTACAAGACAGTTTTTGCAATCTTTATCAATTTCATCAGTTACATTCTGTAACTATCTTATAAACTCAAACTAAAAACAGGAAACAAGGAATAAAAATCTATAGTTCTTTGGATCTCTGTCTATAGAAATTAAATACCTTTATTTCCATGGTTTTCCTGAGCTGTAGACTTCTCAAATCAGAAAACATTATTTTATCAGTACAAATGGCTATTTCTTTAGTAACTCCAAGAGGGTAGTCACTCTAGGGTTTAAAAAAACAAACACGTGAGTCAAAGAAATAGTGTATACCTTTGAGAGCTGATAAAAGCCACTGTCCGTAGGCAATGTACATAGCACTGGGACCACTCAAGAATCAGGCCATAATGGGCTAATAATGTTGAGTATAAAATAAAAAGAGGGGGTGGGGGGCACCTGGGTGGCTCAGTAGATGAGTGTCTGCCTTTAGCTCAGGTCATGAGCCCAGGGTCCTGGGATCGAGTTCCACATCAGGCTCCCCAGGGAGCCTGCTTCTCCCTCTATGTTTCTGCCTCTGTCTCTCATGAATAAATTAAATCTTTTAAAAAATAAAATAAAAAAGGGGGGTTATTTTGTACTTGTTAACATTTTGTAAGAATAAATATTTAAGGAAGTCAGATCTTAAGCAGAAGCTAGAACCAGCTAAAGAAGGCTAAAAATTAGACAAGCACTAGTGATATTTTTCAGATTATGAATGATTAAGCCCATATAGTCATCTAAATGGAAGAGGGGTATTACAGAAAAAAATGCTTTGATAATAGGAACCTATTAGAACGCAGTACACAAAGCCCAAGAATGTGTTCATCTGGGATTACAGACAGGGGCTCTTTCTCAGGAGTCCAAATGATTTTACACTAAGACACAGGCATCCCAAGTCCTTCTGGGAAAAGTGCTGGTCACACACAATGCTCAAAAACCCTAAAAAGTCACCCAATCGGTTATTAAGGTTGTATAGATTTATTCAACAGGAAACTTTTGTTTTTAAATAAACACTGGTACAGGGGTGACTGGTTGGCTCAGTCAGAGGAGCCTGCAACTCATTCTTGGATCTCAGGGTTGTTGAGTTTGAGTCACATGTTGAGACTGGAGATTACTTGAATAAACATTGGTGAAATGCAGAAATAAGCAATACACATTTTATTTAGCTTAAGTCTTCTTAATTCAATAAAAGGAAGTCATTCAAAATTTACTGTAAAGGCAAAAAAATACATCATACCTCATTTTTCACTTCCATGTTCTTTGTTTCAAAAGGTGATTTACTAGCTTCATGTTTATGGAAACTGAAATAAAGCAGCTGATTATAATACTTATAGTACAGAGTCAGTTAAGAGTAGGGGCCACATGATGCTAAATTCTCAATCAACAAAATCTAGGAAGGAGAAAAACATCTTCCTTCAGAGAGAATCACAGCAGTAACAAAACAAAATAGTACACAGCTAGCCATGGGACAGTCTACCCTGTGTGTGGGCTGGCCTCGCCCACAGCCACCTAATTAAAGGGATATACAGGGCCACGATCTCCAGGCCCCAGCTTTCCTATCTGCAAAATGGAGATAATCACTACAGGTTCTCAACAGTTTTGAGGATCAAATGAGGTTACAGATGTGAAATTGCTGTCTAAACTGGTAAATGCCATGCCTGGAAGAATTTCGTATTTTAAAATCACAACTTAAGAGGCACTGTGAGAGTTCTACCTTCCCAAACTTCAGGAAAGAACAGGTTAAAAAGTAAGGCATTCTAGGGACACTTGGTGTCTCAGTGACTGAGCACCACCTTCGGCCCAGGGCCTGATCCTGGAGACCCAGGATCAAGTCCCACCTCGGGCTCCCTGCAGGGAGCCTGCTTCTCCCTCTGCCTCTCTCTCTGCGTCTCTCATGAATAAGTAAATAAAATCTTATTTTAAAAAAAAAAAGGCATTCTAAAGCTCTGATAACAAACTCAAATTTCTAACCATGAATATGTGCTAATAAAATTATATTCATGAGAACTCAGTCCTGAGTTTGTAAGCTGTTCATTTCAGATTTGAACCCTTTGTTATACCTCAAATAAAAAGTGACAACTTCTACATAGATAGGCCTGCTTACCTCATTTGATCCTTATACTATTAAAAAAAAACCCACAACCCTTTTAAATATTCTCTAATGAATAAAAACATTACACTTACTTTTGTTGAACAGGTTTGCACACAATGCTGTGTGCCGACCAGTCCCTTCTCTGGCATGCTATGGAGCAATAGTATGTCTGCTTGCACTGTGAACACCTCAGCGATCCTACAGAACACAGCCCAGTGTTTTATTCCAAGGATTTGTTGCTGAGAGCAAGACATTTTCAAAGACCAGACATATCAAACACCATTCTATTAACCACATCAAGAAGATCACTTGAAAAAGATTATGCTGTTTATGACTAGGTGCTAAGACTAATTTTTTGCAGCTTTCTCAAACTGCAAATAGGAATGCAAAGATGAAAATGAAGACAGAATGAAAACATAACTGACTTTCCTACAGTAGAGTCCAGAACACCTTATAAAAGGAACAAAGGAAATATAAAATGTGTGGTAGTGAAAACAGACTTGTGCAAGCAGACTCAGACATAGTTTACCACTTCACACTATTAAAAAAAATATATAAGACAAAAACCAATGAAGAGAAATCACACCCAGAAAAACCCAGAAGTTTTAAAAATAAAGTACTAAAAAAATCCTATGAATATACAGGCAGAAAAAAAAATGAAACAAACAAAAAAACACGTAACAAAAATCCAGGCTGGCCTTGAATGCTTCTACTCTAAACAGAAGGAAACAAAAGAGGGGTGCCTAGATGGCTCAGTCAGTTAGGAGGCTGCCTTCTGCTTAGGTCATGATCCTGTAGTGCTGGGATCAAGCCCTCCCTCCCTTAAGCTCTCTGCTCAGCAGGGAGTCTGCTTCTCCCCCTCCCCCTGGCTCATGCTTGTGTGCTCTCTTTCTCTTTCTCTGAAATAAAATCTTTATAAAAAGAAAAAAAGGAGCTAAATATCCAAATAGCCAGTAAGCAATGAAATACTCAAGATCATTCACTGATCATAAGGGAAATGCAAGTTAAAACCACAATGAGATACCACTAAACAACCACGAGAAGGGCTAAAGTTGAAAAGACCAACAAAACCAAATGACAAAGATGTGGAACCACCACATCTTGTCATAAAGATAATGTGGACCCATTATCACTGGGAAGGTAAAATGGGACAAGTACTTTGGAAAATGGTTTGGCGGTTTCCTCTAAAGTTAAACATATATCTAACCTTTGACTCAGCAATTATGCTCCTAGGTATGTACCCAAGAGAAAGGAAAACCTATACCCACCCAAGGACTTATACAAAAATGTGTAGAGAGCTCTATTCATAATAGCTAAAAGCTAAACACAAGCAAAATGTTCAACATAAAACCAGATAAATTGTGATATAATCATACAAATATTACTCAGCAGCAAATAATACTGTGTATAGAACACGGATCAATCTCAAAAAATATTGTTTTAAATTATAAAAAGCTTTATACAAAAGAGTCGATACTCTAAGATTCCATTTATACGTAATTCTAAAACTGGCAAAGTTTCGACGTGGATGGAACTGGAGGGTATTATGCTGAGTGAAACAAGTCAATCAGAGAAGGACAGACATTATACGGTCTCATTCATTTGGGGAATATAAATAATAGTGAAAGGGAATATAGGGGAAAGGAGAAAAAATGAATGGGAAATATCAGAAAGGGAGACAGAACATGAGAGACTCCTAACTCTGGGAAACGAACAAGAGGTGGTGGAAAGGGAGGTGGGTGGGGGGTGGTGGTGACTGGGTGATGGGCACTGAGGGGGGAACTTGATGGGATGAGCACTGGGTGTTATGCTAAATGCTGGCAAATTGAACACCAATAAAAAATAAATATAAAAAATTTTTTAAAATCAAACTGGCAAAGTTAATTTATGGTGTAAAAAAACAGCATGGTTGTCTCTAGCGGGTATAGAGACTCTGGAAGGGGCTAGGAGGGAACTTTCTAAGAAGATGGACATATTCTGTATCTTGATAGGCATGTAAGTTGGTGCATGCCAATGCATGTAAATCTTATCACAAACAAAACTATAGGCAATAAGAAGTAAGGAAGCAGCAAGAGTGGAAAGGTACAGATGAACAAAAACTATATGGTGTTGGATAGCTGAATTTGAGATGGGTATACAGTACATACTATTCTGTTCATACTTAATATGTTTTAAAACCTTTAATAAAAATATTTTTCAAATGTGTGAAAAAATAATCCAGACACGTGAGGGAAATATGCTTACCAAATAGGCCACAGCGATGGCAAGTTGTTGACCGAAGAGGAGGTCCTAAGGAGTTGAAGAGTGCTGAATTATTTATGGACAAGGAATTCTCAACCAACTTGTGTACTTTTTTTGATTTTGCAGGAGGCACATTATTGCTAGGCTTCTATTAAGAAAAAAGAATAGTAATATTAAAACTTGGTAGCAATTGTTTTTAAATACCGTATTTGGGATTTCCTTTTTTGGGCAGATAAAATAGATGTACCTTTCTCTATCCTCCCGTTAAGTGCAACTAAAAAACCCTCAACTTGTGGTTAAACAAATATAAGTTCACTTTGAAAGAAGTCAGCAGGTAGCAAACAAACTTGGGACCCAGAGAAGATAATGAATTTCTTCAGTTTTCTTTTTGCCTCACATACCCCAGACGTGGTTCTGGAGAAGCCAGCAACCCAGAAATGCCAAAAGGTACAGGCAATAAAACCCCCAATAGAAAGTCTTTTCCCTTTAGCCAAAAGACAAGGAAAAGGGCAGCCCAACGATATAGAAAAATTTAGTAAGTGTTCTACCCTAGACAAACACCACAGAAAAAAACGTGGCCCTGTTCTAGAGTAGGGACCTGGCACTTCATCCCTGGGAGTGTCCTCATAAAGCCCATATAGGGAACCTGACTTCTACCCAGCAAGTACTCCCCCTCCCTCAACCATTACTGGGGTGGTGGAAGAGGAGGCCTTGTAGAGAGTCAGGACTTTTCATCACCATTCAAAGGTAATGAGTGTCTCCAAACACTCTAATTCTCCTCCCTGGTACACCTACTCTCTCCCCACTCCATCCCACTCCTTTATCAGTAAAGAGGCACTAATCATTCCCAGGCAGGGAGATGGTACCACATGAGGCCTACCAGGAAGCCGGAACTCCCACCCTCAACCAAACACAAGGAAGCTTGGTCCTTGAGAGCCAAATGAGACTGAATGGGGAACCTAGACATTGACTCCTATCTGGAAGCACCCACTTTCCTCTGATATAGGGTCAGAGGAAGCTGGCCAAAACAAAGTTTAAGATACAGAATTTCATTAACATAATAGCCCAAATGTCCAAGTTTCAATAGAAAGTAACTTGTCATACTAGGAAACAGGAAAATCATAACTGAATTTAAAGAAAAGGATGCAACACCAAGATGAGTTTAAAGCAGCCATTGATACTTCAATAAGCAATTATAAGCACACTTGAAGCAAATGAAGAGTCTCAACAAAGCAACAGAAGATATACAGAAGAGCCAAATAAAAGCTTTACAACTGAAAAGTAAAGTAACAAACATTAAAAATATAATGACTCAATAGCAGAATGGAGGCAATAGAGGAAAGGATCAGTAAACTTGAAGACTGAACAACAGAAACTGCCTAATCTAACAAGAGAGAGAAAAAGTGAAGAAAAAACTAAATTAAAAGAGCCTCAGAGACCTATGACACTATCACAAAATATTTAACATTCATGTCTTTGGAGTCCCAGGAGAGGAGAAAGAAGGTAGGGTAGAGAAGTTCTCCAACAAAAAAATTACCCCAAACTTATAAAATTTGGCAAAAGTATAAATCTACAAATTCAAGCTGAGCAAATCCCAAACCAAATAAAATAAATCCACACTAAGATGCATATAGTCAAACTTCTTCAAGCTAAAGACAGAAAAGCTTAAAAGCAGAGAGAGGAAAACGATGTTTTATCTACAGGGGAAAAAGTAATTCAGAAGAGAATAGATTTCTCAACAGATCCCATGCAGAGCAGGAGGAAGTCACACAACATTCTTCAAGTGCTAAAAGAAAACTGTTAGCTGAGAAACTTACCCAGGAAAAGTGTCCTGTAGGAATGAAGAAATCAAGAATTCTTGAATGAAAGAAAACTAAGAAGTTTTCACCAGCAGACCTATCCTAGAAAAATGGCTAAAGAAAATTCTCTAAACGTAAAGGAAATAATGAAGGAATGTCTGAACAAAAGAAAAGAACACATTAAGCAAAAATACAACAAGCACTACAGATTCATAGAATAGAAAAAACTGTGAAGCAAAATGAAACTGAAAGAAGGAGACAATATAATCATAGCTAGGGACTTTAACATCCCTCTCTCAACAATTCATAGAACTACACAGAAAATCAGCAAGAATACAGAAGAACTCAAGATCATCCCATCAACCAACAGATTCTGTTAGACATTCACAGATCATTCTACCCAACAACAGAAAGGACATTCTTTTCAAGTGCTAACAGAACATACACTAAGACCACACACTGGGCCAGAAAACAAAGCTCAACAAATTTAAAAGAATTTAAATCACACAAGATGTTTTTCAACCACAGCTGACTCAAACTAGAAATAAATGATAAATAATCTCCAAACATTTTAGAACAATACACTTCTAAACTCATTAATCAAAGAGGAAGTCTCAAAGGAAATTAAAAAAAAGTGAAAATAAAATGAAAGTTTAACCATTCAAAATTTGTAGGACACAGGTAAAGCATTGCCAACAGGTAAATTTATTTATTTATTTATTTTCAACAGGTAAATTTATAGCACTAAGTTCACACATTAGAAAAAAGAGAAAGTCTCCTTTCTAAATTCCCATCCTAAGAACCTAAAAAATAAGACAAAAACATGCCCAAAGAAACATTAAAGATAAAAGGAGAAATCAAGGAAATGAAAAATGACCTGGGGGGGGGGCGGAAATCAATGAAACAAAGACCTAGTTCTTTGATAAGATCAACAAGTGGTCAAGTGGATGGCTCAGTTGGATAAGTGTCTGACTTCAGCTCAGGTCACAATCCCAGGGTCCTAGGACCAAGCCATGGTGGGTCAGGATCCCCCTCTACCTGCCCTACTCCAGCTTGCATACACAAGCTCTCTCAACTAAATATAATCTTCAAAAAAAAAATAAAATTGATCTAGCAAGACTGTTTGAAAAATAAGACAGAAATTACCAATATCAGAATGAAACAACATATACCTTATTACAGACCCTGAAGACATAAAAATGATAATAATGGAATACTCTGAACTATATACATACAGATTTCATGATGTTGACAAATAGACCAATTCTTCAAAAATCACAAATAAACACAATATGAAACAGATAATGTGAATAGTCCTATAAATGTTAAAGAAATGGAAACTCCTAAAAAAGAAACCTTCACACTTAACATGGTTTTCACTGGAGAACAGTACCAAATGCTTAAAGAATTAATACCAATCCTATACAACATCTCAGAAAGGTAATATTACCTTGGTTCCCCACCCATATGACGGTAGTTTAAAAGAGAATATTACAAACTGCTCATAAAAACAGATGTAAAAATCCTACTCAAAATGATACCAGATATAATTCAGCAATATACAAAATTAACTATACACCATGACAGAGTGTTTATTCCAGGGATGTAAGGCTGGTTAAATATTTTAAAACATCAATGTAATCCACTATAGTAATAGGTTAAAGATCAATTATTGATGGATGAAGGAAAAACATTTAGAAAAACAACACCTATGCATGATCAAAACCATCAAAAAAAAAGTAGCAAAAGAAAATTTCACTAAGTTGATAAGGATCATCTATAAAAATCCCATAGCTAACATTACACTTAATAGTGAAAAGGCTCAACGCTTTCCCACTGAGTTTGGAAGTAAAGCACAATACCCACCATCACCAGTGCTAGAAGTTCTAGCCCGTGCAATATGGCAAAAAAAGGAAATATAAAATATATTGAAAAGAAACTGTTCCTTTTTGCAGAAGATACAACTGTCTACATAGAAAATCCCAAGGAATCTACAAAAAATTCATTGAATAAGTGACTTTAGCAAGGTTACAGGATACAAGAGACACATGCAAAACCATATTTATATATATTAACAATGAACATGAGGACACATGGGAATAAAAAAATACAATATTTACAATGACTTAAAAACAAAAAAAAGACCCAAATCCAGATGTAAATATAACAAGCTAAAAACTACAAAGTGACGGAAATCAAAGAAGAGCTAAATAAATGGAGATGTTACATTCATGGGCTCGAAGATTCAACACAGCAAAGATACCTATAATCCTCAAGTTGATATGCAAGTTTAATGCAATTACTATCAAAATCTCAGCCAGACTTTTTGCAGCTACAGATAACATTATTCTAGAATGTACACTGGAACATTGGAAGGCACAGGAACTATAGTAGCTAAAACAATTTTGGAAAAAGAAAAAAAAAAAAAACAGTGGGAGAAATCACTGTACCCAACTTCAAGACTTAGGACATAGCTCCAGTATTGCATGATACTGGAAGAGGGATACATTAGATCAATGGAAAAGAATAGACAACCCAGAATAGACCCATACAAATTTGCCCAACTAATTTTTGACAAAAGTGCAAAAGCAATTCAGTAGAGGAAATATAGCATTTTTAACAAATGGTGCTGGAGAAATTAGACATAAAAAATAAAACTTCAAATTAACTCAAAGTAGACCACAAATCTAAATGTAAAAGTATAAAACTTATGGGGAAAAAAAAAAGCAAATTTTCTGGATCTGAAGAAGCAAAGAATTTCTAGACACCAAAAGCATAACTTGTAAAAGAAAAAGTGGTCAGGACATCATTAAAATTAAAACTTGTGCTCTGCTAAACACCCTGGTAAGAGAATGAAAAGACAAGCTACAGGGATGCCTGGGTGGCTCAGCTGTTTAGCGCCTGCCTTCGGCCCAGGGCATGATCCTGGAGTCCAGGGATCAAGTCCCACATCGGGCTCCCTGCATGGAGCCTGCTTCTCCCTCTGCCGGTGTCTCTGCCTCTCTCTCTCTCTCTGTCTCTGTCTCTCATGAATAAAATCTTTAAAAGAAAGAAAAAACAACCTATAGACTGGAGAAATCATTTTTGAATCACATATTTGACAAAAGACTAGAACCCGGAATATATAAAGAACTTCCAAAGCTGAGCAATAAAAAAAAAAAAAAATAAAAAAATAAATCCAAATTAGAAAATGGACAAAAGGAGGAGGGGGCAAGATGGCAGAAGAGTAGGGTCCGCAAGTCACCTGTCCCCATCAAATTACCTAGATAAATTGATAAATTTCAAATCATCCTGAAAACCTACTAATTCGGTCTGAGATTTAAAGAGAGAACAGCTGGAATGCTACAGT